GGATGTCCCATTAAAATAATGCATAATGATGGCATTTCTATGCTCTGGGCTATGTTTGTAAAAGTACTAGAAAAAATAAAAATGAGGCTATAAATTGGGCATTATCTTACAGTCTTGGCCAAATCAATTTGACTTTAATGTTTCCCAAGTGCTCTTTGCAGAGACAACTCAGATTGCTCACCTGCCAGCACTAATAACGGTTAAATGGTGCCCTGAAGTTATTCCTAAAGCCTTCTGTTGCCATGTGTTTAAAGAAAATTTTTAGTAACCAGCTAAAAACTACTGTCATTAGACAAATCTCCAACTTACATGAAGCAACATGCATCATCACAAGTCTGGAAGGCAGGAGATGAAACATTATTTATTCCTATTTTGAAGTTAAATTTACCTGACATTAGTAAAAATTCTAATTTGAAATTGTTATAAAAAGGCTAGAACCCCGCAGTTTTGCAGGGTTCCCAGCTGAGCTGTCATTTAAACCCACACCCACACAGCCTGAAAGCACATCCTGTGCAGAGAATTCAGGTGAGAGCACATTAAATCTCATCGAGTTTGGGGATGTTTCACAGGAAAACAAAAAGGAAAGGAAAAAAACCCTTGCTCAACTAGGCCTAAAGCACTATCCTCCATAGGAAACAGGGAAAACATCAGCAGAAATGCCAACTGTAACAATCTCTTTTAGATTATGTCAGTAAAAAAATCATAGTACAAGGACTAAGAAGTAAAGGTGGGGAACACTTCACTGATAAGAGCATATATTTAGTATACATGAGGCCCTAGGTTCAATTATCAGCACCCCAAAATAAAAAATTTGACAAAGAGCTAATAGGTAAAGAGGTATAAAGGTATGAGACGGCGAGCTCCCAGGCTCTGGCTTAGAGCTGCCCTGAAACCATCTTCATCACTCTAACCTGACACAGCATCTCCCTCCTACAAGCCTGTGTAACTGTACCTGTCCTAAGACAGCCACTGGCTGTCAGCTTTTTTTAAAGACTATTTTTGAGCATTTCCTCAAAACTTCATGTTGTAGGTCTTCAATCTCTCTACAAGTTAATCTAAGTGACTACTCAAGAGAATATGCTATCAGGAGATCTAGAATACCTTCTTACAAAGACATCTGGTTTTCTTCATAGAAAAATCCCAAAGTATATACCACATTGATGTGTATATGACCATCAGTTCCACTTTTTATGTAGGAAATACTCTTGGGTCAAAAACAAAATGTTAGAATAATTTTTTAGTAATATACGTTCATTATGAAAAAATTTAGGGCTATGGTTGTAGCTCACTGCAGACCCACTTGCCTAGCATGTGTGAAGCCCTGGGTTCAATCCCCAGGACCATAAAACAAACACTCAATCCCCAGGACCATAAAAACAAAACACAACCACTAAAGTATGTATTGATATGATATAGTATATCTGGTGTTTTATAACCTTTTCCCACAATACACAGGACAAATCTTTCTCAAATCTTTTAGCATTATTTTACAACATGAATTTTTAAAATTTTATTGCTTTTAGGGGGGATGAGGTCAGTCCTAGGGTTCCTACATGCTAGACAAGTGCTTCACCTGAGTTACTCCCTAGCTCCCTCTTCTTCATCCCTTTATAGTATGCTTGGGGGAAAGGCTGTTGAATGTTTTCTCATATTTCTCATAAATGATAATGCTTTGATAAGAACTAGTTGACCAGTTTTTAATCCTATAAAGTGTTTCCATTTTTTATTTCATTTGCTGTGTTAGAGGTTGAACCCAGGACCTCATGCATGCTATCCAAGCACCGTTCAGCCCCTAAAAACAATTCTTTAAAAAAAATTCTGAGAGAGTCTTGCTGAGTTGCCCAGGGTAGCCTCAAACTTGCAGTCCTCATGGTTTAGCCTCGCTTGTAGCTAGGATGGATTACGGGTGTGTGCTACCATACCTAGCTAAAAGGTTCCATCTTTACAGCTCCAGAGTGTGTGAGCTAGCAAGTGATCTACCACTGAGCTACATCCCCAGCCCAATTTTGTCTATATTCATCATGATACACAGTAAATTCCATACAGAGTGATTGCAGGAATAGAAAAAGCACACTTCTCAGGCTCCTGACCGTTACTGCGAATCTGTCCTTTAAGAAAGTGGTTTCAAGCAGCAGTGCACGTTTCAGTCCCTTCACTTACACTGGGATTACCATTTTTTTTCACTTGCATAGCACATGGAAATCAGTCTTCAGAATTTCTCCACTCTCTCCTTTCTTCCCTCTGCTTTTCTTGACCATCTTCATACAAACCGCTCAACTGTCTGTTCCAGAACTATCACTTTCATTTGTGCTCTTCCCCTGTTCAAGTCTTACAATATTTCTGTTATAACACAGAAATTTGCCTGGCTAGTAACTTATCCTCTTAAGACTCTTAGAGCCAAAGTATCAATCAACTAATCTAACAAATTAATCTATGCTAATGTAAAGGGGCTTGTTCTAAAGAACATACGTACAATATAATTTGAACAGTTTAAGGAAAATACATCATGTATAATAGGAATGTATTTTATAAATCAGTGGTTTTTAAGTTTTGCTACAGCTAAAGTCACCCAGGGGACGTTTTAAAATGTTGCTAAAAATACGTATCTCCCAGAAATCCTGGATTATTTCTTAAACAGTAAGACCTGAACATCAGGATTTTTTAATGATTGCTAGAGGATTCCAATGTAGCGTCTGTGTTTGAGATGAGTTGAGAGAGAGATCCTCAGTAGCTTCTTCTTAGATAATATTAAAGGAAGAAGAATTTAGTGCATATAATCTCAGTAATCTGACTCACTGAGTAAGAAAGGATACAATACAGGGTAGTGAGGGGTGAGGCAGTTGCCAATAACAAAAGAATAAGACAGCATGTGTTTCTTGATGCTAGGTAGGTGCCCCTGTGTCAGGAAGTAGGCCAAGCTTAATCTCTTAAGTGGTTTCAACTGCTTTTGCAACTGAAACTAAAATTATTGGAGTAACAAGGCTTATGCTGTACACTTCAGTGGTAGCTCTCTAGGTTTCAATGACACAAATTACTTCCAGTTCACATCTGCTTCACTGTGCCAACAAAGTCGGGCAATCCTGCAGATTTCCTACACAATCCACAGGGGATCCCTGGGAACGCTTTAGAATAACCACCAGTACCAGGCATTTAAATATATTCCCAGGCTGGAAGCATAGCTCTGCAGTACAATACCCACCTAGTATGCACAAGGCCCAGGGTTCAACTCCTATTATAGGCAAAACTCAACAAAAATTATGTTCTTGAATAGCACATGCTTTCATCTGACCTGAATGATCTTTACATGATTTACAATTCAGAAGAGAAATGTTAAGAGCCACTTCTCTGCAAACCCGCTCAGGACTGGTCAGAACACCTGTTACCTCTTCTTCTGGGACCTGGCATTGTATTTCCACACAGTCTGTGGGCACACCAAAAGGCCCATCCACACACTGGCTCTTCATGATGTGGTGGCCCAGCTGGGGAAGAAAAGCCATTCTCCAAGCCTGACATTACTTTATGATAAAGAAGACTGCTTGGTGACCTGAAAACCAAGACTCATCCCTGCAGCTAACAGCAGTTTCTCTTTCCCGGTTTTCTTTTTCAGTTACTGGAGACAGCCATTTAACGTACCCAGATAAATACTACTGCCTTCCTGAAGCTCTGAAAGGTGTTACTTCCAAATTATCTAATTCTGCCTCAGGAGAGAGAAACGGTGGGGCTTCCTGAATGAAGACTGACTTTCTCGGTATCAATACTAGAAAAGGGGCTCTGGTCACTGTTCCACCATATCGAATTTTAGCCAGCGGAGGAAAGGAATGGACTCTAAAACTTTGTATACATTTCCTGATGGGGAAAAACAAAAGGCCTTGGAGGTTGGAGAATGTGCCTGAATTCAGAAAAAAGCAAATTTCTACTAGGAATGTGCTACAACATCCTAATAAGGGGACTTTTAATAGGCCAAAGCTCTACAGACTGTAATCTTACACACAGGTGTACAGGGAAAAGAAATATAAACCCTCTAGGAAAAAAACCAGGTGTCCTTCCTTCCTTGTCTAGTAGTCAATCCCAAAAGAATTTCACAAAAATAACCTTGATTAAAGCCCAGGGTCGAGGCGAGGGAGGCGACTTGATTTTGGAAGAGGGTTAAGAGTTTAGATAGGGCAGAAATACTGTCCAATCATAGAACTCAGACTTGGCTGAAGGCTGTAGTTACGACACTAAAAACAATGCATGGAATAAACCACAGTTACCTTTTTCCTGTCTATGAGGGGGAACACACACACATATTCATGATACTGTGGGCACAAACGCTATCCTTTCAGGTTAAGCCCAGGCACCCTGGCTCAGGCAAAGGTTACTGCCTTGGTAGTCAAGGACATCAACGCTGCGAGGCAGGCAGCAAACATACATTATGCAAACTGGTTGGCAGATCCTCCACCTCCGCCGCCTTTTCAGCCTGCCGGGCCTCTTTGCCTCCTTTCTAGCACAAGAGCCACAGATGAAGTGGGAGATCCGCACGGTTCCTCCAGAGCTGCACCCTCGGGACGGGAGCGCGCCGAGGCCAGAGCTCTGGGGGCCCGCGGTGCTCTTTTGCTTTCCAGGTGGCTGCATCCCTGGACTCAGCGCCGGTTCCCTCTACTAGCCTTTCGACTTCCTAAAACGTTTAACTCACTCCCTTCCGGCCCCTCTAGGAGAATGAAGATGGGGGCGGGGAATGGTTTACAAAATGCTGAAAGATCTGGCACTTGACATTGCAGACCAAGCCGAGGTTTGGGACGGACGAAAGGTGAACCAGCTGTTAAATACTGTTCGGGAACTCCTGCTCTTCCATCGCGCTAACTAGGCGACTCAGACCCAGCTCCGTGCCCGATGGGCCACCTTAAAGGGCGATCGCTTCGCTGCACTAGGAAAATACGCACTCGGGGGACGCGCAATGTCGTCTCCCCATCCAATGCAGTTAAGAGGAGAGAGAGAAGCAGCGCCGGGCTGCGCCTCACCACTTGCTGTGCGCCCCGGAAAGTCGCGTCCAGCAGCATCAGCTTCCAGGGATCCGACACCGAGCTGGGCAGCGGGATGTAGACGTAATAGGCGGCCAGCGCCACCAGGGCGGTGAGCAGGACACAGGACGACCGCATCCTGCCGGCTTGGCTCGGCTCAGCTCCACGAGGAGGCGACGCCAGACGCAGATCTCCGCTAAGTTTCTGCCAGCCGCAGCTGCTCCAGTACGGGTTTCTTATAAACCCGGGAGCCAATCACCGGCGGCGCCGGGAGGAAGTGGGGGTGCTGACGTGCGCCCTCCGAGTCCTCGCGGAGACGCTTCGGGCGCTCCAGGTTGGAGGACGCTCCGGCCGGGCGGGGCGCAGCGCACCCTGGAGGACGAGGCCGGTACTGCGAGCTGTGGCTGGGCCGCCTCCTGCCTAACCCAGTTCTGCCCTCCTGATGGGTCTCAGTCCATCCCGACTCAAAATGCAGCTGCTAATTAGCACGGTGAGAAAATGCTGTTATTCTAGCCCCAGAATTGCAATATAAAGTTATAACTGATAGGTAGGAGGTAGAGAGAGTCACAAATTCCTATAGCTCAAGCAGTGATGGGCCCAGGGCACATCTAGCACTCAAGGCTTGGTTGGTTTCCAGATTTCATTCTCCAGTGAAAAGAATCAGGTTCTTTGTTCAAAGTCCTTAGAAAAAAATCTGATTCCAAGGCCAAGACAGGCAAATTAGAAGATAAGGAATGTTCAAAAGATAGCAGGGATGGCTCAAAAGGTCACAGGTGGTAGATTGAAAGGTCTCCTTGTGGCTAAAGCTGGAGTACTTTTAACAGTAAAATAAATTACCCTAATGGATTATAAGCCATCGAATGAAATAAAAATCCAGGAGTTTATACTAAAATAAATGAGTAAATGGATGGAGTAAGAGAGGAGGCTTTCCTTACAATGGAATGCCAGTTATTAACCGCAGGAAATGATAAACGCTAAAACTAGCGAGTGAAAGTTTGACAAAAATTTTAGTTTTCATTAAAAGGAATGTCCACAAGCCAGGTACGGTGGTACAGGTCTGTAATCCCAGCACTGGGGAGGCTGAGGCAGGAGGATAGCAAGTTGAAGGCCAACCAGGGCTACACAGTGAAACCTTGTTTTATTAAAAAACAAAACTCTTCATGTAGATTATCAATTAAAAAGGAAAAAGTAATAATTTTATAAGACACAAACCTGATTGATACTGCTGGAAATAGTTCTTTTACTGGGTCAACAACAGCAGAATTATTTGGATTCAAATTTCCTGTTAAACATAAGAGAAGTAGGGTACAGAATGGGAGAGAGCAAACCTCACTCGCAGTTACAACCAGAAATCCAAAAGGAACTCTTTTAAGGAAGTAGTAGAACAACTCCAAACCTATTGACCAAGGCTTTTAAATACCTGGTACATAAAATCATGCATCTTAATATAACAATTTAAATTTAATCTAATCCGCAGGTGTAAAATAACCATCATTATAGGACTGATGATGAGACGAAGAGAAAGTTGGTTTCTTATTCAAAGTTGGAGGTAAACATTCTGAAGATCCCACTTAACTGGCATTCTAAGCATAAGTTGGGGTACTTGTTTTTCAGCTTTTTATTTATTATTTCTTTTAGTTACTGGTTAAGCAAATAACTTTAAAGAGATAAGGTTGTATGTGTTGTGAATACATATGCGTGAAACTAGAAACTAATCTTAATGGGTGATAAGAGACAACCTCAGCAACATAAGCCAAGCTAACCATTGGATTTAGTTAACGTTATTTGTTTATGTATGACCTGTGAAGTAATTCAAAGTCTTTGATATTTTTTCTGGAGTTTGATTGTATGGTAATAAAATCACTAATCTTAGAACTAATGAAAAAAACCCTAAACAAACAAAAACAAAGTCACACACCTGACCCTGGCTTTCATCTTTGGCTATAGGAAGAAAGCTCAGTGTTGCAGATTTGTCTCTAGAGGACCAGACCAACTACGTGGCTGGCTCATCCTGTCCTCTAGTGTGCAGTGACAGAGCCAATATTCACTTCTTGGGCATCCCAGTGCAGGGCAACTTCCTTGAGATACAAACTGAGAACAAAAGAACTGTTTAATTCTCCACACTGGATCAGAGAGTTTAAAAAAGAGAGAGAGAGAGAGAGAGAGAGAGAGAGAGATAATCTGAAACTATTTAAAACACTTTCATGACTCTTTTTCAATTTTTCATTCATTCAACAATTATGCCTCACCTGTACTGAGAAATAAGGGTGTTAAGAGTGATATGGGGGGGCGCCCGCCCACCACACTAGATCGTGTTCATTGTGCCCTTCCTGCAAGCATCGTGATTTTTCCAGCTTGTGCCGGGAGCAGTCACCATGTAGCGGCCCTCCATCACGCAACAAGGTGCCACCATGTTCAGATGGGTCACATGGTGACAGGGTGCCACCATGTTTGGATGGGTCACGTGGTCACAGGCGCCCCCATGTTTGGACGGGCCACGTGGTCAATGGGTGCTGCCATATTCGGACAGGTCACATAGCCAATGGGTGAGGCCATGTTCGGATGGGTCTCATGGTCAATGGCTGCCCCCTTGTGGCTCCTCTTGAGAACAGCAACAGCTGCCTTGTTGTGGTTCACATGATGGTTGCCGGCAACAATCCTCTCGCTGCAAGGCACACAGTGAGATGCCATCTGCCTGTATTTCCTCGTCCCAGGGTGAGTGGCAGCTGCTCTGTATCCGTTGTGCAGATAATTGCTCACACACGCCTGCCGGGCAGATAGCTGCCCAATGGCACTCTTTTCTACATTCTTCTCCTCAGGCTCTGCTACTGCTTTGAGAACAAGCTGGCCCCGAGGGGCTGGTCAATATCCATGTACATTTTTCTCTTTTGGATCTATCCCAGATTACCCATAAATTAGGTAGCTTCTCTGTTGACCCACAGAATTACATCAGGCAATTTGAATTTATTACTAATTGTTATGATTTACATTTTAAGGATGTTTATGTGATTTTAAATACCACCCTTAGCTCACAAGAGTGAAATCAGCTGTGGCAGGCAGCTCGAGAAGAAGCTGACCACAGGCATAGGGCAAACACCACTGAAAATGACCCTGGGCCTGTAGCTGTGCCAGACCAAGATCCTAACTGGAACTATCAGAATGGACAAGGTTCAAAAAAACTACATAAGATGATTGAATGTCTGATTGTGTGCCTTAATAAGATTGTTCACAAACATACAAACTACAACAAGCTTTTAGAACATGTCCAGGAGGCTAATGAGAACCCGGCTGTATTTTTAAATCAGCTTTGGGAAACCTTAATTAAGTATACTAATGTAAACCCAGGCTCTCATTAAGGGATGATTGTTGTTAACTCTTATTTTGTTTCACAGTCTGCTCCTGATATTCATGCAAAATTACAAAAGGTTGAACATGGCCCTCAAACTCCACAAGGAGATCTACTTAAATTAGCCTTCCATATCTTCAACAATAGAGATAAGATTCAAAAAGAGGAGAAACAAGCTCAAAAATTAAAGTTTGCTAAATATCAGTCTGACCTCTTATCGAGCTCCCAAGACAAAAAAATCTACAACAAGGTGTGGCTGCCCGAGTCCTGCCCAGACTATGCTTCAAATGCAGCAAACAAGGACATTGGGCAAAAGACTGCCTTAACCCTGGCATTCCTCTTGGACCCTGCCCATACTGCAATCTTAAAGGGCATTGGAAGAGCGACTGTCCTAGCCGCCAGTGAGCAGCTAAGCCATCCTCTAATTCCCTCACCCTCACAGGAGACTCCGTCAATGCCAGATTTGTTGCTGACTGACCTGCTTGGACTTGCTGATGGGGCTTGGGGCTCACAGCCCCCACTCCGGTAACCTTGTCGGAGCCCCGACTCTCACTGGAGATCTCAGGCAAAATAATATCTCTGCTTATGGATACGGGGGCAACTTATAGTGTACTTCCTAAATTTTTAGGACCTTGTAATAAGTCTTTGATTTCTGTTGTGGGCATTGACGGCCAGCCGATCAACCTTTGCAGACTGGGCCTATCCCATGTAGATTCCAGACTCTTTTCTTTACCCATAGCTTCCTAGTAATCCCAACATGTCCCACACCCCTTTTAGGTAGAGGCCTTCTTCAAAAGCTTAATTTTTCCTTCACTTTCTCTCTCCCCACAGCCCTAATCCTCCAAACAGCCTCACAATACATCACAAAGCCATTCCCCCCTCTTCCTCCTTCTGTGGTTGACCCCATGGTTTGGGACACATCCAATCCCATTCTGGCTATACATGCCATGCCTGTTTTAATCTGTCTCAAGGATCCCTCCATTTTTCCCTGCATTCCCCAGTACCCCATAGCTCCCCAACATTTAAGGGGACTTAAACCCATATTAAGTGGCTTTTAGACAATGGTTTTCTTAAACCTACCCATTCACCCCACAATACTCCAATTCTCCTGGTACTCAAGCCTGATGGGTCCTATCACCTGGTACAGGACCTTACAGTAATTAACAGTGCTGTTACCCCAACTCACCCAGTGGTGCCAAATCCTTATACCATGCTCTCTCATATCCCTCCCTCCACCACTCACTTTATGGTTATAGATCTTAAAGATGCCTTCTTCACTATCCCCCTACACTCTGACTGCCAGAACCTCTTTGCGTTTACATGGACTGACCCAGACACCCTCAGGTCTCAACAACTTACTTGGACAGTGCTCCCCCAAGGGTTCAGAGATAGTCCCCACTTCTTTAGTCAGGCCCTCGCTACTGACCTCACAGAACTTAATCTCAAACTGAGTGTTCTTCTTCAATACATAGACGACCTTTTCTCCATCCCATATGTTAGCCATACAACACTCAGCCAGTCTTCTTAATTTCCTTGCTAGTCATGGATACAGGGTCTCTCCTGCTAAAGCCCAGATAGCCTCCCTAAAAGTCAAATACCTAGGTCTTGCTCTCACCCCCACTACTCGCTCCATCACCTCAGATCGTAAGGCAATTCTTCATGATCTCCAGGTGCCCACAACTAAACAGCAGGTTACATCTTTCCTAGGTTTAGCTAATTTCTTTTGTCTCTGGATTCCTAACTTTGCAGCCCTAGCTCAACTCCTCTACAAGGCTGCTAAGGGTTCCTTATCAGAACCCCTGGACCCTACTAGGCCCATACATGCCTCCTTTCAAAAATTAAAAGAGGCTCTCCTAAAAGCTCCAGCTCTTACCCTTCCTGATTCCATCCAACCTTTCATCCTATATACTGCTTCTCAGGGCCACAACACTATAGGTGTACTAGGACGCAAAAAGGGACCTTCTTTTCAAGTAGTAGCTTACTTGTCAAGACAGTTAGATCACACAGTAAAAGGATGGACTCTTTGTCTCTGAGCTCTTGCAGCTGCAGCCCTCCTGACACAGGGCTAAAAAGTTTACATTAGGGCAATCTATTACAGTACACTCACCTCATCACCTACGTGACCTTATCTCACATAAGGGTGCTCCCTGCCCTAATGACCCCTTCTTTCCTTCAACAGGTACACTTAGCTCTCTCTCAAGACCCTTGCATCTCTATTGCAACTAGTGGTCCTCTTAATGTGGCAACCTTACTTCCCACCTCAGAGGGCCATCCTCACCATGACTATATTGAGTTCTTACAGATGACTCCCACCCCTTTCCCTCACATCAGTAGCACACCTCTCTCTTTGGCCTTTGACACATGGTTCATAGATGGCAGTTCAACAAACACAGACAACCAAAAGAAGGCAGGATATGCAATAGTTAACCAGTCAAAAGTTATAGAGGCAAATCCACTGCCACCTGGGACCTCTTCCCAGAGGGCAGAACTTATTGCCCTTACAAGGGCTCTTATACTAGCAAAAGATAAGATTATAAATATATACACTGACTCAAAGTATACATTTAGCATTTTACACTATCATGCCTCTATCTGGCAAGAACGGGGTTTTATTACCACTCAGGGAACCCCCATCATTAATGCTCCCCTTATCCTTAAACTTCTAGAGGCAGCCCAACTTCCAAAGCAGGCAGTAATTATTCATTGTAGAGGACACCAAAACTCTACAGATCCTATTGCTCAAGGCAATGCCTTTGCAGATTCACAAGCCAAGTTAGCTGCACAAGGGCCCTGCGCTTCTCATCTTCTCCCGTTAGTCCCAAACAGTCTACCTCAGCCCAATTATTCACCAGAGTAGTTACAGCTACTTCATAAACCAGGTTACACACAAAACACTCAGGGATGGATTTTTCAGGGATCTGAACTTGTTCTCCCACATCAACAGGCCTCAGACATCATCACTGACTTACACAACTGTTTTCATATAGGATCACAGGCCCTATACAAACTCTTAGCCCCAATAGTCACACACCCTTCTCTAAAAGCTATCATTCTTAAGATTACTCACACCGGTGATCTTTGTGCCAGGACCTCTCCTCAGGGACGCATGGCATCCCCTTCCTTTCCTATCCATCAGTTTCGAGGACACACCCCTGGTCAGGACTGGCAGATAGATTTTACAGACATGCCCCACCACAAGACTCTCAAATATCTTCTCACCTTTTTTTGTACCTTTTCAGGATGGATAGAAGCCTTTCTCACAACCAGGGAAACTGCTGATGTAGTTACCAAAATCATATTACAAGAAATCATTCCAAGGTTTGGTCTACCTCAGAGTATTCACTCAGATAATGGTCCCGTCTTTATTTCTCAGATCACTCAACAGGTATCCTCGAGCTTACACATCACCTGGCACCTCCACATCCCATACCATCCACAATCCTCAGGGAAAGTAGAAAAGGCAACTGGCCTAATAAAGACACACCTTACAAAACTCACTTTAGAACTACACCAATCTTGGCCTCAACTTTTGCCGTTAGCCTTAGCCAAGGTCAGGGCACTTCCCCGGGCTCCTACTTTCTTAAGTCCTTTTGAACTTTTATACGGCAGGCCATTCTTACTCCACAATCTTCCTACTCCCCCAAATCTCCCTCCCCTGGCTGATGTCCCAGTTCTCTCCTTCCTCCGACACTTGTGGCAACAACATGCTGATCTCTGCCTTCCACAACCCTCTGGAGAGGCCAAACCAGATCCTCCCATATCCCCAGGAGATCTAATTTATCTCAAATGTTCTAAATCCACAGGACTACAACCAAGGTGGAGTGGCCCCTACCTGGTCTACTTGGCTACCGCTACAGTGGTCAAAGTTGCTGGACTCCCATCCTGGTTTCACATCACTCAGGCTAAGAGGTGCCCTCCCAGCCCTAAATCTGATCATTCTGAGTGGTCATCTCATCTTCTGTCGCCCACCTGTCTCCGTTTATGAAGGCGTCACAGCCACAGTTAACAGGCTAAGTCATGTTTGTTATCTAATTTGATTCCTAATTTCTTACATTCTATTAATGATCATTTTTACAGCAGGACTCTTGACAGTGTTTCCTAGAGACTCCCACATCATGCGTAAGATCATCTTCATAATGATCTATGTGATAATGGTCATAGTTCTTTCTACCCTCAGCTGTCTGGTTAAGTGTGACATCCCTGAAAGCCTAAGCCCTTACCTTCCCTATACTGGTACAGCCACCATCTCCCCTACTCCCCCTATTTTTTCCAGTTCAACTCCTGAACCGGAGACAAGTTTTACACACCTACCCTCCTAACTTTTATGCTTTCAGATGGGGGAGTAATCACCTCTCATAATTTCATTCCTTCTAACCTCACACCTATTTTTCAGAATTCTACCTCACCGTAACAATGATCCTACCTCAACATCATCCTGATAGAATAACATGTCTAAATCAAAGGCACCTTTCCCTCTACCTCAGCTGGGTCCTTAAATGTGACAGTGCCATGTCTCCTCATAACCTCATGTTTCTTTGTTTTTCCAGTCTGACATATGTGCACTCACCAGTGAATGCACCAGTGAATGTTATCCTGGCTAAAACACCTGGCGTCAGCGTCTACCTGGGCATCAACCATCATCCCACCAACTCCCCTAGGCTCCAGTACAGGGCCTTCTGCCAGCAGGAAGTAGTTAAAGAGAGAAATCTTCGCCCCTTTTCATAATAATCATAAGATGGGATATGAAAGGGTTTTGGCGCAGATAGGACACTGTAGCCAGAAAAGACCTCAGCCGGAATCAGGGAGCTCCTGTCTCCCCCGCCCCTAGAGATTTACCTGTAACTCTATCTCCCCCCACCCTTCGGAATCTGCCCCTGGTGCCAAACATGTGCCAATGAAATACCTGTGCATCTCTAATGGCCCTGGGGCACTACCCTAAGATTAGGCTACTTATATCCCCCCACGCCACGTGTCCGCGGGAGAGATTGCCGGACTTCAGCGGCCGGGGGTGGGGGGTGTCAGTCATCTCTCTCGGTGTTCTCAAAATAAAGGCCTCTTTTGTTTTATACTTTACATCTTTTGGAAATAATCCTATCATTTGGCATCCTATCACTTATTATGAGTGAAATTCTGTGGGAAGCACTTTCAATATATTATTAATTCATTTAGTTTCCTAACAATTTTGTGATGCACTATTGTTATTCTGAAAACAAAGGCACTGAAATATGAGGTGCATTGCCTCAATTTGTTAAGCTGGTGAGGCATGCATGGGATTTGAGGCCCCAGAGTCTGGGCCTAGTGCTCATGTGCTCTAGATTCAATTCCTGAGCAGCAACATGACCAAAATAGTCAGACAAGGGGCCACCCTGTGGATGGCTGCTACTTTAAACTAGGTGAAGAAGCATGCTCTGAGCAGATGCCATTTGAGCTTCAAAATAAGGAGAGACCTTTGTGACCTCAGAGGAGAGCCTTACTAAAATCTGGAGGCCAAGGAGAGCACTGCAGAGGTTCTAAGGTGCTGGTGACAACAAGAAACAGAAAGAGTGCCAGCCAGGCAGGAGCAGGCTAAGGGAAGAGGCTCAGACAGAGAAGGAGGAGGCTGAGTAGTCACTTAGGACCAGTAAGTAAGCTGTGAGATAAGAGGTGCAGTGGAAGCAGCTGGAGACCTGAACGTAGGGAAGTGACATGATCGGGTCTGCCTTTGAAAAGGTGGGAGCCAGATGCTCTGTGGGGAACAAAAGGCCATGAGGTGGCTTCTGCAGTGGCCAGGGGAGAAATGATGTGGCCCGCAGTAGCAACTTAGCAGTGGAATGGAGATAGGAGAAAAATCTGGGATAGAGCTAGGAAAGATAAAAACATATCAGTGAATTGTGAAGAGGGGTAAAAAGAAAAGTTAATAAAATTCTCTGCTTCTAAGGAAATAAAACAGCTCTTGAATCAAGCAATTAACTTTTCCATTTTCATAGACTTGCCTTAGATTTATTTTTGGTATAATCTCTAAAGTATAGGGCACAGCAAAATCATTGCTTAAAAAATTATTTATTTTTACTACTTGGAAAAATTGACTCAAATGCCATATACTACACCATGTAAAGGGGCTTCTTCATCCCAGATGAACAGAACCTTAGCTGAACATGTAATGAATTTTGTTATCTCAAAGGCATGGTTGTAGATGCTGATGTGATGAAGATATGGCCCCATTGCCCACCAAAAGTGTTCTCTGTAGCTGGAGACAAAGTCAGACAAATAGATAAAGTTTAGATGGAGGATTCTGTTATGTAAGGCTGGGAAGTAGGGTACACCAGAAGAGGTGACAAGGGAGAAGGTCTGCAGGCAGAAGAGCACGACGCAGACGAATTCTAAGCGAGACTGTCCTCGGCAGAGAGAAAAGCATGGACAGAGTCCTAACGTGTAATGTGAGCAGAAAATTACAAAAGTTCAGGATTTCTGCAACATCAAATGCAGGGAAGAGGAGGGCAGTGAAATTTAACCTGAAGAGTTAGTAGAGGTCACATGATGTGGGCCTTATGTGTAATACTGAAGAGTTTGCGCATTATCCTGTGTGGAGAGGTTGCATTAGACCCCGCTGGTATCAAAATGAGGGCAGATTGGTAGGATGAGAGCAGAGGAAGCTTTTGGGAGTGTGTTACTTCCACGATGTCCAACAATGAGGTATTAGCTTAGACTTGATTCAGGTGACAGCCATGTGGATAAAAGTCCAAGGATGCCTAACAAATAGAATCAAAAGGACTTAGAGAAAAGGAGAAAGTAGTTGAGAAGAATTCTCAGATTTCTTATTGAAGCAGCTGTGAAGATAGTGTTGCTTTATCTAAGATAAAGAATGGTAGGAAATAACTAGAAAGATGCCTGTAATCTCAGCATTTAGGAGGCTGAGACAGGAGGATTGTCATGAGCTTAAAGCCAGCCTGGGCTACATAGTGAGTTCAAATTCAGCCTGTACTGCAAAGTGAGACCCTGTCTCAAAAACCAAAAATAAATAAAATAAAGAAGAATAGTGGGAGAATAAAAGGCTTAAGGACAAATGATAAATTCCATTTGGAATATTTAGGTTTGAGGTACATGTGAGATATTACAAGAAGGCTTGTAGGTGCATAAGGCCAGTAGTCAAAGGAGACATACCAGCTGGAGATGTATATATGAAAGTCCTTGTCTTATAACCAAAGCCATGATGGTAGATGAGAGAGGAGGTGAGGGGGCTGGGAGAACCAAGCCTGAGGGTCTTATATTTACTGTGTCAGGGAAGGAGGACAAGTTGATTAAAAAGGCCAAGAAAAATGACCAGAGTTCTACTCAAACTAGAGGAATGGAATAGGGATAGATAATGAGTCATTGAGTAGGTAAGTTGGTAGAATTTCTTCACTGGATACTTAGACAGAGAAGGAAAGAGGAGTTAACAATGACTCCAAAGTCTCTGACTTGGGCAGTGTCATTAACTGATGTGAGAATTTTTGACAGGAAAGCAAGTTTAGGGTTAAGAGAATGAGTGCAGTCTTGTGATGGACTCAGGATAAAATCCCCAGGTGGACATGTTCAGCAGTACATTGGATTTAGAGCCTACAAGAGGAGAGATGTCAGAACTCTGCTAGGGAACTGTCATAACAGACAGCTGGAGCAGCATAATATTTCAAAATGCTGATGCAAAGTATATAACACACAGCATGCAATACAAACAAAGTTCCAGGAATACTAATATATTGAACCCTGATCAAATCATAAAATCATTAACACAACATATGTAAGAATAAAAAGAGGGATATACATGTCTCTAAGAGTTTTAATTTACTCAATTTATATTCAGGAACATTTTCAGGAATGCCATCTAATTGCAATGGGAAGATTTCATTAAGGTCTAAGTCACTATTTGCTATGTTCCAGGAAAAGTAGTTGGTGAATTACTGCATTAATAATATAATATTTGTGTCTCATTTGCATAACAATGTTGATGATAGTTTAAAGCTTACATGATTGCATTTTTGATGGTTTTGAGATGGATTTTGCTATGTAGCCTAGGCTGGCTTTGAACTATCAGTCTTCCTACCATATTCTCTTAGGTACTAGACTGGGATACACTACCACAGTCAGCTGAAGCTCATTCTGTGTGTGTGTATTACGGGATTGAACTCAGAGCTTTACATTAAACTGTATTTCCCAGGTTTTTTTTTAGACAGGGTCTTGCTAAATTGCCTAGGGTAGGAGGTCTTGAAATTTTCCTGCCTCAGCTTCAATGCTGGGATTACAAGTCATGCACTGTGCCCAACTTGAAGCTCCTTCTTGATCTTCCCCATGATAGTTTTATTCACTTAAGAAAATAATCTTGGCTTGATTTAAAGAACAAAAAGAAGTTTTGCTTTTTCTTATAACCCATCCTATTATATCACTACCTGAAAGATTTATGAGTTTACAAAAGTCCGTTGTGGAGGAGACCATGAGAGCAGCGTTGCTGCCTGATCTAGGGCATCTTACTGCGTTCTCTTTGATCACAGACGCATGCTCTGGGAGCTCTGCTGGTACTCACCTCCCAGTTTCCTAGGTCTTATCCTTCTTGATTTCCTATTTCCTAGGGCTGCTACAAGGAATTACCCCAGACCGGTGAGCTAAGAACAGAAGTATTCCCTCTGGAGACTGTTCATCTGCAGTGGATGTCAGCAGGGCGGTGCTCTCTCTGAAGGCTTCCTTCCTTCTCTTCCCTTCTGTGCTTGCTGACAATGCTTAGCACTTCATGGCATGGAAATGTGCCCAATCTCTGCCTCTGTCTTCACTGACAGTTTTCTCTGTGTGCCAGTCTTTGTATCTATTGCCTTTCTCTTTTAAGGGCATGAGTCCCACTGGATGAAGGACCCATTCTCCTCCAGTCACATCTTCACTTATCATATGCAATGACCCTATTCTGTTGTTTTTTGTTGTTGTTGTGTGTGTGCACGCGCACGTGTGTGCACTGTAGATTGTAGCAGGCCCACGCACATAGTCGGCAAGCTCAGTACCACTGTGCTACACCCCCAGCTCCAGATTCTTTCTCTAAATGAGGTTGTATTCTGAGGTTCAGCTAAGGAAAATAACTGGAAGCAGTATTTAATCTATTACAGAAATCAGGAGCTAAAGGAGCGAGTTTGAAGTTAGCTAAGTGGGCACTTCGCTAAGCATTGCCTCCCTCCCTCCACAGAAGCTGTGCCTGCATGGATAGTTTGATCTAGTCTTATACAGGTGATGTCCCCCTTACTCATCCTCTGAAGCTCACATTTTTGTTTTTTGGTTGACATCTATTTTAAATAGGCTAATGGGAAAAGGGGGTAGTAAGTGCACAGATGCATGTGAATTTTCCTCTGCCTTTAGTTGACTAGTGAACTCATTTGCTTACTCATTTTTAACTAAAAAGAATGGCTATGATGATCACATTTCAGGATGATAGGAGGAATATGGCCTGTGTTCTGCTATATTGGTGGCAGCCTGGTTTGCAGTAATGCAAGTGTGGCACTACCCAAAGAATCTGTGGCTCACACACACAAACAGTACCACTGTGCCACACCCCCAGCTCCAGATTCTTTCTTTGAAATATAAAAAACATTCAAAGGTTTAAGATTTGTAGAAGACGTATGAAACCGTATATATTTGGTTTGGTTTTGATTTTTTTTGACTACACGTGGTCAGCTTTCGCTTAGCTACTCCCAAAGTAATGTCAATGATTAGGCATAGTTGTTGGTCTTGGGGTGTGTTTCAGTGGTGACTTGGAATTTAAGTTTCCCAGCCAATCATCTGTGAATTTGAATGCTGTATTCAAAAGTGTTTCAAAGTCATTCCAGAGCCTATAAGCCACCCTGCTCCTTCTTTCTCTGTGGATCTCTGGAACTCTCAGTGCCTCTGTCCCTTCCTCTGTCAGGTATGTTGAGGTTTTCTGCCTCAGGATCTGTGTATGAGTCGCTCTAGCTGTTTCCTCTTCTGGCATTGCCTATCTCCTACTCTTCATCCCTGCTGGTTCACATTTAGGTAGAGTATCTGCTTAAATCTCACTTCCTCAGAGCAACGACGCTTTATAAAATATGCCATGTAATTACAGT